TGTTTTTTTCTAAATAGGATGCTTTACGTTTTATTATGTTTTTCAAAGATTTGGATGAAATTGAGGTGGAAAACAAAACTGGAATCAAAAGTACGCTTAGCAGAAAACTGTTATAAAATACTCATGAACAAGATTCATGATGTGGCCACTGCAGATATTTGGTTGTTACTAGAGGCTGGGACACAAGAACTCTGGTGGAGTAGTGATGGTGGTTGTGGTGTTTTTGGAAAAAATCTGATCATGAGTATCCACAAGTTATGAGACACTGAGATCCAGTCTTCACTAATTGGGACTGTTCGGGATTTAAACACTTCACGTTTTGACTTTGTGATTTTTGTGGCATTAACCTAAAGGCTCACTCCAGAGAATCTGTTGAAACAGTGTGAAGAAGATATCAATGCATAACAAATGTTTGCCATGGCCCTGGTTCAGAAATGGTGGAATCTTTTACATTCACTTGAACAATTTGAAAGGGTCTTCATTTAATGACCTACTTGAAAGAGCACCACTTCAACAGTTCAGAACTTCCTCAGTACCGAGCTTCAAAAATGCAGTGATCCATCAGTACTGACCTACTGTCAGTGCAGTGCTCCCCTCAATACTGACCCTCCAACAGTGCAATACTTCCCCAGTACTGATCTTTGACAGTGCAGTATTCCCTCCAGATTGAGAGTGCAGCATTCTCTCTTTACTGTCTCTTTGCTGCCCCTATAATAGTGCAGCATTTCCTCAGTGTTTTACTCAGAATGACATTTTGTGTTTGGTGTAGGACTGGAATCTATGGCCTCCTGGTTTATGTGATAAAGTCACAGTTGACATGAAATTATAAATTAAACTGGAAGTTGGCTAACATGGTGCCATTATTTAAGAAAAGTGGTAAGGAAAAGCCAGGTTCTATATACTGGTGAGCCTGACGTCAGTGGTAGGTAAGTTGTTGGAGGGGATTCTGAAGGACAGGATTTACACGTATTCGGAAAGGCAAGGACTGATTTAGGGTTAGTCAGCATTCCTTTGTGTGTGGGAAATCATGTTTCACTAATTTATTTGAGTTTTTTGAAGAAGTGATGAAGAGGATTGATGAAGGCAGAGCGATGGACATTGTCTACATGGACTTCTGTAAGGAGTTTGACAAAATTCCACATGGTAGAATGTTGAACAAGGTTAAATCACATGGAATACAGGGGGTACTAGTCATTTCCATGCAAAATTGGCTCGAAGGTAGAAGACAGAGGGTGGTGGTGGAGGGTTGCTTTTCGGACAGGAGGCTTGTGACCAGCAGTGTGCCACAAGGATTGGTGCTGGGTCTACTGCTTTTTGTCATTTATATAAATGATTTAGATGTGAATATAGGAAGTATGGTTAGTAAGTTTGCAGATGACACCAAAATTGGTGGTGGTGTGGACAGTGAGGAAGGTTATGCAGTGTACAACGGGACCTCGATCAGATGGGTTGATGGGCCAAGGAATGGCAGATGGAGTTTAATCTAGGTAAATGTAAGGTGTCACACTTTGGTAGGGCAAATCAGGGCAGGACTTGTATATTTAATGGTAAGGTCCTGGGGAGCATTACCAAACAAAGAGACCTTGGCATGCAGATTTGTAGTTCCGTGAGAGTGGAGTCACAGGTGGACAGGGTGGAGAAGAAGGTGTTTAGTATGCTTGCCTTTACTGGACAGTGCGTTGAGTAAAGGAGTTGGGAGGTCATGTTGTGGCTGTACAGGACATTGATTAGGCCACTTTTAGAATACTGCATGCAATTCTGGTCTCCCTGCTATAGGAAAGATTTTGTGAAACTTGAAAGGGTTCCGAAAAGATTTACAAGAATGTTGCCTAGGTTGGAGAGTTTCAGCTCTCGAGCAGGCTGAATAGGCTGGGACTATTTTCCCTGGAGGGCTGGAGGCTGAGGGATGAAGTTTATAAAATCATGAGGGGCATGGATAGGGTGAATAGTCACGGTCTTTCCCCAGGGTATGGGAGTCCAAAACTGGAGGGTATAGGTTTAAAGTGAGAGGGGGAAGATTTAAAAGGGACCTACGAGGCAGCCTTTTCTTGCAGAGGGTGGTGCGTGTATGGAATGAGCTGTCAGAGGAAGTGGTGGAGGCTGGTACAATTACAACATTTAAGAGGCATCTGGATGGATGTTTGAATAGGAACGGTTAAGAGGGATATGGGCCAAATATTGGCAAATGGCACTCGATTAATTTAGGATATCTGGTCGGCATGGACGAATTGGACTGAAGGGTCTGTTCCCATGCTGTACATCTCTATGACTATGACCCTAAACAAGTGATCTAACAAGCTAGCAGCTTCTTTCAACATTTTGGATCAAAACATTGACCTTTCGATCCAGCAAGTTTTCCCCAGTTTAAATATAGGGTGACTGCTGTTATTTTAATTAATGGTTTTCTAATTACTAAAAAATCAGTTGTGAATGTTAACAGTCAAGTTGACCTTTTTAGAAGCAGAGGAAATAACCTGTAAGTGAATTAACTAAACTAAAGAACCTGAAGCTGTCACTGGATTCTTTGAATTGTTGTGTAAATAAAAGGTCCCACGGATTGCTATCCCTCCAGATTAGTTAATGCAAATAAAGCACTTTTTGTCCCTTCAGGCAAAGTTTAAGAGAATCCTAGAACTGCACAGAACAGAAGAAGGTCACTTGGCAAGTTTTCCATGCTAATTCTTAGAACTATTCAGCTAATCCAACTCCTTTTTGCTGCAACCTCCCCTTTTCTCCCCTTTTAAGTGCTTATCCAGATCCCTTCTAAAAGCTATCATAGAATCTGTTTCCATCTTACAGTCAGGCTGTGCACATTCCAAATCCAAAGCACTTTCCATGTAAAAATGATTTTCCTCAGGTTACTGTTGTAAATCTGTGTCCTCAGGTCCCCTTCCCTGCTGCTGGAATCAGCTTTGCTCTGTCTACTCTATCAAATAGATTTATAAAAACTCCATTCATATCTAGATAGCATAGAATGAAGGAAAAGTGAGGGGAAACTGTTGAAAATTTTAAATCTGTGACTTCCAGGTATAGCACAATATGAACAAAAGGAGGAATTGAAATAAGAGATGAAGTTTTTAATCTATTCAGTAAATTTCCACTGATGTTACACACAGGAATATAGGTTTTGCATCGTGTTCAGGTCTTTGGGATTAGAGGATGTTGGATAATTAGGTCTAGGAGAAAATGTGAAAGGGCGAAGGCAGGAGGGGGAACACATGAGCACGAGAGTTGAGGAAAATGTGCCACAAGCAGTGGTGAATTGGAATATCCTAGTGGAAAGGCTGACACACTCTGTCATTTGTGTGGGAAATTTCCATTTCACTTTCCCTCCCTTGAAGCGCAGGACTTCAAGTCAGGAGCAGTCTGGGGAAACTTGCAGCAATATCCTCCCTCCTTGAGAAGGTGAATTTCCTTCACACAGAGATATGAGGTGTCAGTGGTGATTCACCACACTCCTCTTTCTCACAGTCCAAGATGGTGTTCTTGTTTTTGGTGCACTACTGGTTGAGTTTGGACCAGAGGATGCAGCCCTTCCTCCAGAACACAACTAATTCACAAGTAAGCAGGCACGGTGGATCCATCTTTTAATGTATTAGCATTCATTATGGGGGCATCCTGTATTTGGATGTCTGCACTGTTGAACTTCCTTGTGTTATTTCGTAGTAGAACTGTAACAGGCATTTTCATGTTATTTTCTGACTTGGCTGTCATATCATATTTTGTCCTAGAGCCTTGAGGCTTCTCTAGAGCTCCACCTGCTGGGTTATTATCGTTAACATTCAAATTTATATTTAAAAGTTGGTTGAGTTTTCAAACATTTAAGTTTTGCTACTTTTTTTCATAGCCCACCCTGTTTCCTGTGTTTTCTTGATTAGTCCCAACCTGGTTTGAAAGGGAGTCCAGCAATCCCAGTCAGCCCAGCAAAATCCCTTCAACATAACATCAGTGGAGCGGCGCCAAAATTTGGGCTAGCTGCCCCAGGTATAAGTTTAAATTCTGACACCTGGAACACCAGTTGTTTCTACCCCCACCAGCTGGTAGACCTTTAAACTGCCAACCTTCCCTAAAAAAGTCTTTGCTGGACCCGGCAATCTGCATTTTCTTCGTATTTCTTCAAATATGGAGTGACGCTTGATGAGCAATTGTTTTTGTTTTATTATTGTTTCCGCTAGCCTTGAGGAAAAAAACCTTGTTTTACATCATGGTCCCTAACTGATCTGGTTTCTTATTTTACAAAAGTTCTCCTGGGCTTTGTTTCAATGTTGATTGTGAACACAATGGGAATAAATTAGAAAAAATAAAGAAGTTAAAAAGTTCAGAATATCAGTTTTTCTGATCCAGTCCATGCTGGCACGTAGCCTCAAGGGAGATCTCCACCACCTACGCTGGACCTACCAATGTAGGGGTTGCCCCACTTCAGGTGCCATCTCTTTGCCACTGAGCCCACACTCACCCCATAATCAAGAGTCCCAGCTCTGCTGCCAGGCCGGGCCATTGCCGGGTCACAAGTCCCGCTTTGGCTGCAGATGTCGCATATTTATTACATCTATAATGCTGGCCTTTTTTGTTTCTTCACTTCTGTAATTTTTTCTGTTCTCTAAGATGGCGTTGTAATGCGGTGACTGTAAACTTTTTATTGTACTCATTTGAGTATATGTGACAATAGAGTTAATTCAATTCAATCAGCTGGTTACTAATTGATTACCTGATGCTTTATTGGTTTGCTCCCAGCTTGTCAACCTACTCCCGATTCTGCCACTCTCATCCTATGGAGAAATGTAAAATCCAGCTCAATGAGATGACAGTCTCTTCCAATTGAGGTATAAATAAATGGTCAAGCAAGAACCTGTACCCGCACCCAAATCTGGAGCAAGACCTCATAACTAGATTGATTCCCTGCACTTAGAAATAAACCTTAGATTATTTGCCTACATGCATTGCACACATTTGAAATTGGAATAGCAATAACGTTTTCACTCCTGTAATTTGTTTTCTAGTTCCTATGTTCGATTTGACATCCTAAGAAGAATACTGACCAAGACCTTTGGCATCGATGTCATTATGGTGATGGTTATCACAGATATTGATGACAAAATAATTCAAAGGGCCAACGAGGTAAATTACCAGGATTGTTCTCGGGAAGCATTTAGTCCAAAACCATGGAAATTAAAATTGTTAACTAACTATTATTTTCCCAATTACAGTTGAATATTTCGCCCACAGTACTTTCGTGCTTCTATGAAGAGGATTTCAAACAAGATATGGCATGTTTAAAGGTATAACAAATGCTTCCTTTTGCAGTGGTAACACACCCATTTGAATAGCTGCTGACCATTCATAAGCACTTTAAATTGAATTCAATAAGCTTCTTAGAACAGAGGAGGTTAAGGAGAAAGTCTTGTCACTGGCAAGTGATGATAGCAAGATGAGAAACATTTAAGATAATTAGTAAAGAACCATAAGGAAAATGAGGCTAATTTCTTCTATACAGTAAATTGTCATGTTCTGGTATGTAGTAGCTTAAAAAGTAGTGGTAGCAGATTCATTAATAACTTTGCCAAAGGAGAATTGGATAAATTTGAGAAATAGCAGAAGTTTGGGGAAAAGCAGGAGAGTGGGATTAATTGGATGGCTCTTTCAAAGAGTCATTGCAGACAAAAGCTGAATCTGATATGTTATACGATTTACATTTTCAACTGGTTTACAAAGTTTCTTGGTTTGTGAAGCAGTTACTTTGGAATGATTGCTTATGGTTGTATTATATAAAATGTAATTATCAAACTGGGACTAGAGATGGGGAATTGGGCGATAGTAAGCGTCAGCAAATAAAAGAACAGGAACTATATAGCAGTTCAAACATCAACTGATAAGGGGGAAATGAAGCAAGTTTTGACTCGTGGGAGTTGGTGACAGAGAAAAGATTTGTGCTGAGAGTAAAGAAATGACTTGGATGCTTGTAACACCTTCCATGACCTCAAGACATCCCAAAGTGTTCTACAGCTACTGAAGTACCTCTGAACCATTCTAATAAAGAAAACGTCGTGGTCAATTGCATGCACAGCAAGTTCCTACACATTGTACACGGGGACTCGGTTTAATGCCTTTTCCAAATGATAGCACTTCCAACAATACTGCACTCTCTAATTACAGGCCCTCCAACAGTTCACTTCCAGTGCCACTTGCTGCTTTTACTGGTAATCTCAAAGTTCAAACTAAGCAGAGCCATATGCTGTCACAGGAAAGGGGCTGTTTTAATCCACTTGTGCATGAGAACATCTCCAGCTTTGCCAACCTATCATCATAACTGATCATCTTCTGTGGAGCCATTATCATGAATCTTTTCTGAATCCTCTTCATCACCTTCAGATTCTTTCTAAAGTGCAATGCCTGAAATAGGCGCAATGCTCCACTTGAGTCTGAACCAATGTTTTCTTAAAGTTCATCATAACCTTTTTGCTTTCATGCCCCGTACCTCTATTTATAAAATCTGGTTGTCTTTTAACCACTTTCTTAACCTGACTTGCCTGCTTAACAATTTGTACACGCAAACCCCTCCAAAACTCTCTCTTTCCCCATTTTGAGTTATTCCCTTTATTTTATGTGGCCTCTTGTCCTTCCTACCAAAATGTATCATATCACTTTGGCATCTATCTTTTCTCCCAAGTTTTATATTGGGAAGACCTCTTTTTGTTCCAATTACTCATATTTTTCGAGCACGGTAGCTTTGACAGTGTTAATGGGCTACTCAAACCTGCGTGTTGGCAGGTACTAGTTCTGGCACAGACTGTTGGACTTGAGGATATGTACCTTGTATCCTCCATGAGGCTGATACCAGCTCCATTTTATACCTCTTCCTATTTTTCTTTCTGCTGCCAATTTCCGGTTACCTGGTTTACACTATTGCACAAAGTTAAACTTGGAAAGTTGAACAGTTTGTTTGTATTTTAGAAAAAAAGTGCTAAATTTTTGAACTCAGCTAAGAGAAGAGATTTTGTGATGTATGTTTGTAAAGGTTTCCGAACAGGGAATTTGGTACAGTCTGTTCCATTTTGGAGTTGTTTTCAGATCAAATACACATCCTTCTGACAAATTGACAGGATCCAGAAGAGGGCAGTAATTTATTGGAAGAAGTCACAGAAATGGTACCAAAGTGATTGTTCTCAATCCACCCCTACCTGAACTTTACGTTTGACTGACTCTTTGATATCTAACTGTGTTCCCAAGCCATTATAATTCTATTTGTGAGGCAATGTGGGAGCTCGGTTTCATCAAATCCTGAACAATGTTTCTACTGTTTTTTTTAGGTCCTTCCACCCACTGTTTACTTGCGCGTGACTGATAACATTCCCCAGATTGTGACATTTATAGAAAGAATTATTCACAATGGCCATGCGTATTCTACCTCCACGGGTGAGTTTCTGCAGTGACAACTGTCCTATTACTGAATTTCTGTTGTGCTTTTATTAATGATTTTATGACTGAGATGGGAAGATTGTACTGTTTCTCTCTAGTGCATTACTCCACTGGCCATAATATAATTCAAATGCATTTGTTTCTTATACATTTTGAAAGGATGGAGAGCTGAAGACAGAAGTACTAAGTGATTCTGGATTAAACAAGATACATTGCTGTTGTTATAGTCTTATCATAGGCCACAAGACTATTTAAAAGGGTTGTGAAGGAATCGCTGTTTTGATGCAATGATAGTAAGGGACTGGTAATATACTGCAGATCCAAACTGGGATGGTGTGTGGCTTGAAGTGGAATTTGCAGGTTATGGTTTCTAAAATACCACCTATCATTTTCTTCATTAATTGTTGATATAAGATTGGGATGGGAGGGGAGTGATACTACGTAATGGTGGAAGTTAGTTTTAGAGTTAGAAAGACTCTGAGATTGCATGTGGTCCAATATTTGTGTCAAAAGTGTTGTGGTTACAAGCATTCACATGAAACATGTCTTTGTGGTCTTGATTATTTAAAGTGCAATATATCTCTTTATTCGAAACATTCTTCCTTTGTTAATGCTTGAATTATACTGATTTTAGTTGACCTGTTCCATTAAAAGCTCTAATAAGTGAAAGTCTTGTCTAGCAGTTTTCTCCATGTGGTGAAATTAGTATAACTTTTTAAAATGCTGTTGATGCCTGTCGGGACCGTAACAGGAATGATGACACAGTTGTGTAGATTAAGACCAGTGGAGGAGACTTATATCACTATTTTGAGATAAATTTGATTTGCAAATAAGTGCTAGTTAAGACATCAATGTTGTGAAAAGAGTTTGAAATCATGTTGATATACTTCTTTCCAAATAGTGAAGTGGAAGTAATAAAACAAAATCTTGCTGTGACTTCCTTTCAAAATGAAAAGGGGTTTTGGTAAAGTAGATAGAGACATAGTGTTTGCACTGACAGGAGGCTTAGGGCCTGGAGGATACAGATTTAGAAAACTAACAAACAAAAAATCTATTGGTGTACTCAGAATTATTCTTTATAAGGCGATTTAGGAACGTAGAACTTAGGAGTAGGAGTAGTCCATTCAGCCCTTCAAGCCTGCTCTGTCATTCAATAAGATCATGGTTGATCTGTTTGTGGTTTCAACTGCACCTTCCTGTTTTCCCCCCATAGCCTTTGACTTCAGTGTCAGTCAAAAATCTAACGTTATTTTGAATAAATTTAATGGACAAGCGTTCACTGTTTTCTGTGGAAGAAGAACGACTCACTGAGGGGAAAAAAAATTCTCTTTATCTCAGAACATGGAACCTCTTATTCTTAACCCATGTCCCCTACTTCCGACTCACCTACAAGAAGAAATATTCTTTCAGAAATGACCCTACCATGTGCCCTCAGGGTTATATCTGTTTCAATGAAAAGAGCACTTCTCATTTTTTTTAAACTCTATTGGGTAAAGATCCAATCTGTTCAATTTTTCTTCAGAAATAAGATCAACACTTCATCCCAGAAATGAATGGAGTACACTTTTTCTGAATTGCTTCCAATGCAATTCTATCCTATTTCAAATAAGGAGAACAAAATTGTAAACAGTAGTCCAGATATGATCCCACTAAGGCCCTGTACAGCTCCCTACTCTTATATTCCATTCTTCTTGTAATATGTGTCAGTGTTCCATTTGCCCTCCTAATCACTTGCCGCAATTGCATACTAACTTTTGTACTTCATAGGTCAAGCCATTCATATCGCCTATGCCACCCAGTTCTGTAATCCGTCTCAATTTGAATAGTGTGCTATTTCTTTGTTTCCTCTCAAGGTTCATACTTTCTTACATTATACACACATCTGTCAAATTTTTGCTTAACCTAACTATCTTTTGGAGCCGCTTAAATCCTCCTTGGTACCTGTTCTGGTATAATAGGCAAGTCTTGCAGCAGTGCATATTGTTTGACATTCAATTCTTTGATATAGATTGTGAATAATTGAGGCCTCAGAATTCATCCCTGTGACATTCTGTTAGTTACTATTGTCAACCTGTAAAAAATACATTTGTCCCTACTGTCTGATTTCTGTTAGCTAGAAAATCCTTTAGTCGTAGTAATATATTACCCCTTCTATCATGAGATCTTAATTTGCATAGTAACCTTTAATATGGCATCTTTTCAAATATCTTGTTGGAAATCTAGGCACACACATACACAAGTTCCATGTTCACCTTCCTTAAAAAACTCTAATAGTTAAACATGGTTTTTCTTTCACACAACGATGTTGATTCTCTCTGATCATACTGGCCCAGATTTTCCAGTCAGGATCGGAAATTCTACTACCAAACTTGAACAGAGAGAGAAAACAAAGTAACTTGCCTTTAGAGGGATCCTCTCTACAGTTTTCTGCAAAGTGCCTTCCCAGCTGAACTAGCATAGAGGAATCCAGAAATCCATGAAAAAGTTTCAAAGCATATTAGTGTGGAAATCACACCTCATTTTTCAGAAGTAAGTGTCATATGCTGTGATGTAAAGGCCCTGTAGCCACTTGGAAACCTGTTGACAGAAGCTAAATTTGTCAGGTAATTGTGAGAATATGCTGGCAGGAGGGTGAGGGATATGGACGGGACAGGGGTTCTGGAAGGTAACAGAAGGTGGGTGAGGGGTTAAGGTGGCAGGTTAGTGAGGTATAGGATGGGAGAGGATGTGTGGGATTGGAGATATAAGGTGGCAAATGGATGTATGGGGATAGGAAGGTCAGGGGCCAGGTGGGTGAGATGTTTAGAGGAGGTCATTGGGGATGGCGGGGTGGGAGTCGGAGTAGAGAGTTGCAGGTAAGTTCATGAGAGCAAGGGATTGGATCCATGCGGGTTGGGGAGCTAGCTCCTTGTTTCCAAGGGCTGGTAGGACGGCAGATTAAGGCTAGGCTAGTTACCAGGTTAAGTGGCGAGTTCAGGCATAAGAGTCGTGGGTCAGGAGGTTGGGGGTGCCTGCTTAGGTAGAGTGTGTTAGATCTAGTGGGGTTGGGGTGAGGTGTTTAGAGAATGCCTGACCTTAGGGTGGGGTTTAGAGTTTCAGGGGAACAGAGTGCAGGGAAAGGGATGAGTGTGTCAGGTCTGGGGATGTCAGGATTTGTGAAGAATCAGTGGTGACCCAAGGTTCAGTTTAATTGTTAACCAGGGGTTGGAGCAGGTTTTAATGCATTAACTTGCTACATAGCTATTTATCTTAAGTCAGTGGAACCCTTTGAAGACTTTGATTCCAATTCAGGTTATGGAATTTTTCGGAGGGCTGCAGGCATCTGGTAATTGCCCCAAGGAAATTTCAATTTTTGGAGCAGTTCCCATGAACTGAGCTGCCTCAGGGCTTCCGTAATAACCCAAAGCAAAATCCCAGTCTATGCTGCTGAAACAGCTATCTTCCTATCTCAAAATCTGGGCCATTACGGTGTTCTATATATTCCACTACAATCCCCTTAATAACAGATTTTAGCAATTTCCCTATGATAGATGTTAGAGTAATTGGCCTATGGTTTTTTGTATCCTGTCTTCCTTTCTTCTTCAGTAATGGGATGATGTTAGCAATTTTCCAATCTGCAGGACTCTTCAAGAATTTCAGGAATTTTGGCAGATTAAAACTTTTGACTCTACTACTTTGTAGCCACTTTTTTAAAGATGCAAGGTAACTGTCAAAAAAAAAAATCAGATATACACTAGAAAAAGAAAACATTTACAGGGCTATGAGGATAGAGTGGGACGGTCGGATTATTGGATGTCTCTTTCAAAGACCCAGTACAGTACAGACATGATGGACCAATTGCCTCTACTTGTAGGATGGTAGATTAAGGCTATGGCAGTTACCAGGCTATTCTATGGTTATCATCATTCTATATCAGCAGATATAAGCATCTCAGTACCATTTGGCCCTAGTGTAAACGAAGCATTAAATTTGTGATATGCAAGTAAATTCTTAAGCAAGCCTGTCATAATTTCAGAACATAATTTTTATTTACTTATCTAAACACTTTATTAAAACATTTCAGGAAATGTGTATTTTGACGTCCAGTCTATCGGTAGTCAGTATGGGAAGTTTGTTGGGATATGTGCTGACACAGCTGGAGAAACAAGTATGTATTTACAATTGTTCATGTTGTTAATGTTTTGTCTTTATACCTTTAACGTTTTTCTTTCGATCATGATCAGCGTTTCCATGAATAGACTGGGTCTCGGTCTGAAAGCTATGACTCCCTGTGCTGTAAGAATCAGTGCCACCAGGTTTGACAGTTGTCCCCAGATATTAAGTGGTGATGTCCCCAAATTCCCTGTCGTCTCAGAAAATGGCAACAATGGCTAAACAATCAAACAGTTTTATATAAAATAAAAGTAATGCATGGATCTACATTGCACAACTGGGCCGACAGTTTAAAAATACAGTGTATGTAACTCTTGCAGCACTTCTGAGTGTGTTCTTCGAAATACATCTCTAATTGTAAGACTTTTTCTGTGCTGCAGACACTGTTTGTGGAAGATGCTAGGAGACAGATTTCTATAAGAGAGTACCTGGAATATAATGGTGTCTTGTTTCCTGAAAGGGTCTGTTTTAAAGCAGTGTATCTGACTTGACACCCATCACAGTAGTTGAGTCGTATCATTCAGAAAACCTGTTTGTATCTTTGCAGTTGAATTTGTTTTTAGCAATAACAAGCTATGGTTGTACAATGCATTTGAAACATCTAAAGAGAAACTATAAGGAATATTAGGAAAGGCAACCAAATGGTTGGTCAATAAAATAATTTGGAGGAGCACACTAAAAGCAGAGAGAGGAAAGTGAAGCAGTTTACAGACCGAATTCCGCAGTTTAGGACCCTGGTAGCTGACAGCGTTGAAGTGAGAAAAATGGATATGTGTAGAAGACCAGAATTGGAGGAATCTAGTAAAGGGTTGGTCCATCCATTTAGATGGGGTGGAGGTGTGAGGGTTATGTTAGTAAAATCAGAGTTAATAAAATATGATTGCATGCACTGAGCCATGATCATGGACAGGCTACTCTCACCACTAGAACAAGGGAAATTTCATATAGACGTTTCAAATTCAAAAGTAATGTAATAGATATTGGAAATCTGAAATCAAACAGGCAATAATAGTAGATAGAGATAACAAGGTGTAGGACTGGATGAACACAGCAGGCCAAGCAGCATCGGAGGAGCAGGAAAACTGACGTTTCGGGTCGAGACCCTTAAATAGGCTTAATGGCAAGAGGCAAAGGGTGATGGTTGAAGGTTGTTTTTATGACTGGAAGCCTGAACCCTGTGGCATACCACAAGGTTTGGTACTGCGTCCCTTGCAATTTGTGATGTACGTTAATGATCTAGACATGAATATAGGAAGTAACTAGGAGGAAAGGCACAAACTACAGAATGTAGACTGATGAGATGGATTCAACAGTGGCAATGGAATTTAACCTTGAAAGCTGTGAGCGATAAATTTTGGTGGACAATAAGGCAAAGGAGTACATAATAAATGGTAGGATCCTCGGAAACACAGAAGATCAGAAGGACTTCGGTGTGCATGGCCAGAGATCCTTGAAGGCAACAGCACAAATGCATAGAGTATTTAAAAAGGCATCTGGAATACTTGCCTTTATTAGTTGAGGCATTGAATACAAGAACAGAAATATTATGATGGATCTATATAAGATGTTAGTTAGGCTACAGGTGGAAGACTGTGTCGCCAAACTGTGCAAAGAATTCGATTGCACTAGAGAGGCTGCAGAGCAGATTCAGCAGAATTAACCGCATCTCTTGTGTTTCCCGCACCTCTGCCCTCTCATCCCCTCCCCCCAATAAAAATAAAGACAGAATACCCCTTGTCCTCACATATCACCCCACCAACCTCCGCATCCAACGTATCATTCTGTGTCATTTCCACTACCTACAATCCGACCCCACAACCAAACATATATTTTCCTCCCCACCCTATCTGCCTTTTGTAGGGACCACGCTCTCCACGACTCCCTCGTCCGCTCCTAACTCCCCACTAACCCCACCAGTCCTGGCATCTTTCCCTGCAACCGCAGGAAGTGCTACACCTGCCTCTATACCTCCTCCTGACCTCCAGTCAAGGCACGAAACAAACCTTCCGCATTAGACAGGGGTTCACCTGCACAAGTGTCAACTTGGTCTACTGTATCTGCTGCTCCCAATGTGGCCTCCTCTACATCGGTGAGATCAAGCAGAGGCTCAGAGACCGTTTTGTAGAGTATCTGCACTCAGTTCGCGACAAACGACAACAGCTTTCAGTTGCAAACCATTTTAACTCCCCCCTCCCACTCCTGCATGACATGTTCATCCTGGGCCTCCTCCAGCGTCACAATGACGCCAACCGCAAACTGGAGGAGCAACAGCTCACATTCTGCCTCGGGAGCCTAAAGCCCAATGGCCTAAATGTAGATTTTACCAGTTTCAAAATCTCCCCACCCCGGCCTCATCCCATGACCAACCTTCCCTCTCGTCCCCGCCTCTTTGACCTGAAACAGCCTGTCCATCTTCTCTCCCACCTGTCCGTCCCACCCATCCCGCTGACCAATCCCCACCACTCCCTACCTGCACTCACCTATCACCATCCCATCTGCCTTCCCGAACCCCACCCCTCCTGTCTCTATTTATGAGCTCCCTTCCCCCTCCCCATTTCTGAAGAAGGGTCCCAACCCGAAATGTCAACTTTCCTGCTCCTCTGATGCTGCCTGGCCTGCTGTGTTCCTCCAGCTCCACGCTGTGTTCCTCCAGCTCCATGCTGTGTAATGTCAGATGTTACCTGGGCTGGGGTGCTTCAGCTTTGAACTGAAATTAGGCTGGTAGGGGTTGTTTACTTTGAAACAAAGAAGGCTGAGGAGGACCCTAATACAGAGAAGAAGCTTTTCCCCTATATAGAAGGATCAGTAACCAACAGGCATAGATTTAAGTGAAACGCAGGAGATTTAGAGGGAATTTAAAGAAGAATTTTTTCACACACATTTGAGTTGGGTGTCTGGAACTCGGTGAGTAAGAGTGGTAGATGTGGGATCCATCACAACATTTAGTGTACAAGATTATGGCAGAAATGCTGGAAAATGAGACTAGGATAGATCAGTGGGGATGTAATCAGTCAACAGGCCTCTTTCCATGCTGTAAATCTACAGCTTTGATTTTATTAATAGGGTTGCGGTGTGTAAAAACAAGGCCGTTACGTTGAACATAGGACACTAGTTCAGCCTTAGCTGGAGTATTGCATCCAGGTCGGGGTTCCACATTTCAGGAAGATATGAAGGCATTGGAGAGAGTGCAGAAAAGGTTCACCAGAATGATACCAGGGATAAAGAATTCCAGTTATGAATATTGATTGGAGAAGTAGGGATTGCTTTCTTTGGACAAGAGAAAATTTAGGGAAAATTTGACAGAAATATACAAAATCATGAGGGGTTTGGACAAAGTAGATAGGGTGAAACTCTTCCCACTCACCAAAGGATCACGTATGAGAGGACACAGATTTAAATTGATTGGCAAAAGACACAAAAATGACATACGGTAAAAGTTTCTCAAAGCAAGTGGTTAAGACGTGGAAAGCACTGCCTGAGACTGTTGTGGAGGCAGCTTCAATCGAGGCATTCAAAAACGAGTTAGGCTGTTCTCTGAGAGGGTACTATTGGCATGGCTCAGGAGAGAAAGTGGAAGAATGGCATTTGGTGATAACATCATGGGCTGAATGGCCTCTGTGGTTCTGTGATTCTGAGGTCAGGCAACATCTGTTGAGAGAGAATACAGTGAACATTTCAAGTCAATGATCAATCATCAGATTTGAAAGATGTTAGTAAATTTGTCTCAGCCGCAAATGGAAACATTTCTCCTCTCCTCATACATAGTAAATGGGAAAGCAGAGGCAGTGAGGAAAGCAGGTTGGAGAGTAAATTTCTCCATGCAGGAGAAATCCCCAGTCCTTCATACATTTTGATTTGTCATCGATAATGAAGCACAGATTCATGTCTGAAAACGCATAAGTATTTTAAATAACTTTTGGGTTATTTGTTTATTTTGTTTTATTGCTAGCTGCTGGTGATAAAAGGCACATCAGAGACTTTGCTCTGTGGAAAGCATCAAAGCCAAATGAACCATCTTGGATATCCCCATGGGGTAAGGGTCGACCTGGCTGGCATATTGAGTGTTCCACCATTGCAAGGTTGGTACTTGTGTTTTTTGTTGAACATACCATGACAGAATTGACCTGGGAGTTTTACTGCTGACAAAGCAAAATCACATTCCTGATGTTTCTAACTATAGGACTCATTTTCTGATCTGGTTACAATGGTATTAACCCTTTGACTGGTCTTTTGCGATGCCTAATTTTAATAATCCAGTGACCGTGCATCAACTGTATCAAAATTTCTGCGTGTGAAATAAAAGGAGCAAAAATAGAATAACACTGTCGTTGTAGGGTTGATTTCTAACCATAATCATTTCCTGTGTTCATTTTATGTCTCTCTCCACTTGCGTTTTCACATGTTGTCATTCAGCAACAGTAATTTGCATGTATAAAATGCTTTTAACAAGACCTAAGAGGTTTCACAGAAGCATTACCTAACATAATTTGACATGAAGCCACACAAGGAAGTGATAGGACAGAAGACTAAAGCTTGATCTATGTTTTAAGGAGTACCCTAAGGATGTAGAGGAAGGCAGAGAGATTTTTGAGAAGGCTTTGCGTAGTTTAGCACATCGGCAGCTGAAGATATGGTCGTCACTGGTGCAACAATTGAAATCAGGCACGTGCAAGATATCAGGATTGGAGCAAATTTGAGATCTTGTAAGGTTATAGGACTGAGATTACAGAGACAGGGAGAGGATAAGTACAGTGGAGGGAGTTGCAAACAAATATGAGAGTTTGAAAATTAAGGCATTGCCAATTCCTCAGAAGTTAGAGTCAACACCTCATCCATTTTTAGTTAATGTATATTTTCTCTTCTTTCTAGTTAATTCCTCAGTAGACATTTGTAAGTTTGTCCAAGGTGCTGATGTACTAAGAAAATAGTTTCACAACCCCTTGATATAACAAATGGTGAGCTTAACTATGTGCATTTTCAGCTCTGTGTTTGGAAATAAATTGGACATCCATTCAGGTGGAATAGACCTAGCGTTTCCCCATCACGAGAATGAGATTGCTCAATGTGAGGCCTACCACCAGTGTGAGCAATGGGGCAACTACTTTTTACACTCAGGTATGTATTTGTTGGGCAGTGGAAGAAGAGTAGATAGAATTCAAAGACATTAATCGATAAGCGACATTTGTTGTGAGTTTTTGATTCTTGAGGGATTAGTAGTGAAATAAAGTATGATTTTTCTACATTGAACTGTTTATCTTGTAATCCATATGTAATTTTCTGACCATTAATTTTAATTCTGCAGTTTCTTATGTACTCTTTGGAGGGAAACAATCCTCACTTTTTTTAAAATAAAAGATTCGCGAACAGATGCATCATCATTACCAAATTTTAATTTGGATCAAGATCCCTGAGCAATTCAGATGTTTGATTTTTCAGTTTTCTCCAAGTCACTTGGTTTTAAAAGATGCAATTCATATAATAGTAAATTATTAATTTTATTCATTCACTCATGGGATGTGGACATCGTTGGCAGGCCAGCATTTATTGTCCATCCCTAATTGCCTTTGAAAAGATAATGGTGAGTTGCTTTCTTGAACCACTGCCATCCATGTGTTTTAGGTAGACCCACAATGCCATTAGAGAGGGAACCGCAGGAATTTTACCCAACAACAATGAATGAACAGCGATATATTTCTGGGTTAGGACAATGAGTGGCTTATAGGGGAGCTTGGAGGATAGTGTTCCCGTTGATGCTCTTCTTTCCAGATGGAAGTGGTTATAAGTTCAGAAGGTGCAGAATAAGGAGCTTACTTACTCTTATATCATTATTAGATGATCTCATTGGAAACAAGCATGCAGCTTTATGATGAGGGGAGTTGTTTTGTGGTTTAGTAATGAACAGAATCAATGTAATTGACTTGAAGGTTTGCGGCAGTTTATTATAACCTATGTTATGTTTTGATGTGATGTTTTTGAGATCAAGTTTTCAATATAGTGAATTGTTGGCTGGTGGAAGGATCTTTGATTTTTTTTAAGCTGTTTTAAACTGTTGGCAGAATCCCTCAATCCAAGATTGTAAATCTTGAATTTCTGTGAATAGACCAACAGTTTAAGCTTTTTAGATTTTGATTCATGGAATAGGAGTTCTTCAGGCCTAAGGTTCTTAGATCCAGTAACTCTACTAAGTTGTTGTGCACTGGAGGAATTATTGATATGAAATTTAAATAAATCTTTTGTTTAACTAATTTTGCTTTCATATATTTGTATTTAACCAAGGAACATAGGTATTTTTAACCAAGTTGTCCCTTCCTACCTTTGCTGAACTTTGGCCGTTCAGTAGCTGATTGTAAACTGTTCCATTTCTCTGCTTCATTTCCAAATTTTTTATTCTCCATTATTTTAATAATTATTCAGCTTTGTTGAATGTGGTCACTGGTTTTGTACTAATCTTCATTTCTGGCCACATCATGATAGCCTTGCCCGAAAATGTTCATTCTCATCTTCCCCTTTTTCTGCTGGGTGCATGAAATTGGGACCAGTGGATGGGGCGGTTGAAATTGTTTTATTATAGTAACAGCAAGTAGGAAAATGGACTTGGATAACTCTTTCTTGACTACCTGACCTTCCTTTTTGTGAAAGTTGATGGTAAAGAAAGTGGGTATGGTGTAAAATAGATGGCAGATTTGGCTTTATACATTTCAATTTCAGCCATGGTTCACTTCAGCATGAACATTTCTTTATCCTATGAAGAGTCATACGCCATAGAAACAGTCCCTTCAGCCCACTGTGTCTATGCCGACCCATAAACACCAAACTACACTAATCCCATTTACTTGCACTTGGACCATAGACTACTATGCTCTGGCATTTTAAGTGCTTGTCCAGATGCTTATTAAATATTGGGACAGTCCCTGGTTCCACCACTCTCTCATGCAGTGTGTTCCATCTTTTACCACCCTCTGGTTAAAAGAATTCTAAACCACCTGCTCATCATCTTAAGCTTATGCCCTCTGGTCTTAGATGCATCTGCCATGGGGAAAATATTCTCATGATCTACTCTGTCTATGCCTGTGATAATTTTGCATATATAAATCAGATACCTCCCTCAGCCTCCTCTGCCAGGAAAAACAAACCCAACCTATCCAGCCTGTCCTCAGAACTGAGATTTTCCATCCCTCGCAACATCCTGGTGAAACTCCTCTGCACCCTCTAGAGTACGGTCACATCTTTTGATAGTGTGGCGACCAGAACTGCACACTATATTCCATCTGTGGCCTAATCAATGTTCTATAAAGTTGCAACAAAACTTTCCTGCTTCCCTGGCTAATGAAGGCAAGCATCCCTTCTGCCTTGTTCAACACCCAGTCTACCTGCATTGATACCTTCAGAGATCTGTGGATTTGTACACCAATAATGTCCCTTTGTTCCTCAGTACTCTCTAGGTACCTACCATTCATTGTGTAAATCCTTCCCTTATTAGACCACCCAAAATGCGTCAACTCACACTTATCAGGATTAAATTCTATCTGCCCAATTAACCAGCTGATCAATATCAGACTCTAGCCTTGTTTGAATTTCTTTTGTATAGGGCATTTGCATTTGAAAGGAAGTGAAGAAAAGATGTCAAAATCATTGAAAAATTACATCACAATCAAGGTAACTATTCACTTTTATCACTCCTGTTTACTTTTTTCCTGTTTCTTTTTGTTCCTTAGAAAATTTCTTCTAATGACAGCTAGTAGCTTGTCATAAAAATGTAACTGAGATCAGTCAGATCTGAACGTGATTGTTTTTTGCAATCTGTCTCGGATTAACTTTAGGATATCTGGGTATAAAATGGCTATATCCAAAGAGCAAAAGGACATGTGTTTCCCAATAGGATGCCCATCGGACATTCCCAAATTGAGTATTGTTTCCAGACTATCTGGAGAGAGCACCATTGACTTGAACCTTTCATTCATCAATTGTTAACTGGATGAATGAAACAAATATGTTTATTCTAAACCAGGGTCTGAAATATTGCAGGTTATATTGTACTATTGGGCTGTAGAAATGGAGGCTAATAGGTGTAAACAAGGTTAGCCCTAATTCTCAGCTTGATTGGCTGAAGATTTGGGCAGAAAGAAGAGAGATTTATAGTGTTGCTGAAAAATGGAGAGAATTATGCAGTACAAGACCATAGATTTAGTTATTTGTCATATGTACTAAGTATAGAAATACGCAAGTACAGTGAAAAGCGCACAAAGTCGCCAATCACTGGCACCCACTTGGCTACAAAAACCAGAATTAAAAGATTTAACAGAGCCAAAAGGTAAGCAAGGAAAAAAAAGTCCAAATCTCAGAGTCCCAAGTCCCATCTCTACTATGGTGTAGGCACCACTTCAATCACGGGGCAGCTGACACCGCCTTGCAGGCCCGTTCTTGCCGCCGACTGCTAACCCCTCACCGGCCCCGCTCTCACCACTGACTGCAGCCCCCTCACCATTCCCACTCCCATCACCGACTGCTGCCCCCTCACCGGCCCCACTCTCACCACCCACTGCCCCCTCACCGGCCCCACGCTCACCACCGCCCGCTGCCCCCTCACCGGCCCCACGCTCACCGCCCGCTGCCCCCTCACCGGCCCCACGCTCACCGCCCACTGCCCCCTCACCGGCCCCACGCTCACCGCCCACTGCCCCCTCACCGGCCCCACGCTCACCGCCCACTGCCCCCTCACCGGCCCCAC